TCAAGCTGTGAAAAGAACAGCTTGAACAGCTTCAATTTTTCATTACTTCAATAGGCCGCTTGAAAAATTTGAATTATTTTGCGAAGCAGTCAACTTAGAAAAATAGCGTCGAAAGGTTTGGAAGTTTTATCGCTTCAATAGATCGCTTGATTAAGTTTCACTTTTTTTCGAAACTTTCCAAGCTATGAAAGCAACCTCGAAATTTGTTGGGTTTTTGTTGCTTTAATAGCTTGCTTCGAAAAACTTTTCAAAGGCCTACTCGCTCTATGAAGAAGATGAAAAGTCATTTAATTTTATTGCTTAAATGGCTAGCTTAGAAAAATAAATTTTTTTGCCAACCGATTTGCTCTATGAAAAAACTTTGTTTTGAAGCTTCATCAGTTCAATAGCTTAATTAAAAAATATCAAGTGTTTTACCAATGAAACAAAAATTGAAGTGTTTCAAAGTTTCATCGCTAAAATAGCTTGCTTAGAAAGGTTAAAAAATTTCGCGAATTTTTCTGTTTTTTTATTAACTCGACATATTTCACAGCTTCGTCGCCTCCATAAACTTCCCGTTTTTTCGCCAACCGATTCGCTTGATGAAATCATTTGAAAAGCTTGCTTCGAATAACTTAAATTTTCCAGTACCTGATTTGCTCGATGTTGACAAAGTTTTATGACTTGATTACTTTGCTAAAAATCTTGAACTTTTCTCGAACTACTTCGCATATTAAAGTGACTTGAAAAGTTTCAAATCTTCGTGGCTGGATAGGTTTGCCTTCAAAATTTAAGTTTTCCCTGAAACCATCCGATTCGCTCTATAGGGAAATTGTTTTATTTCGTAGTTTTCTTTCTTCAACAGCTTGCGTAGAAAAAACTCAATTTTTGCTGCACATTTCTTTCCATAATTAATTCGAAACATTTCAAGGCTCTAGCGCCTGACAATTTGAACTATGTTGAAAATAAACTAAAATTTTGCAAATTGATTCGCTCTATGAAATTTCTGCCATACTTCAAAGACTTAGCACTTGAGTAGCGTGCTCACACAAAATTGCTAGCTGATTCACGCAATGAAGTGTTTTCAGATGTTTGCGAACGTGCACTTTATAAACTTATAAGCAAATATTTGTGGAGGTAACCATTAAAAAGTTCGCAGATCGCCACTTGAATTGTTTGCTAAAAACCGTTAGTGTTTGCGAATCGATTCATGGTATAGTCTTAAAGTTTCCAACTTTAATTGCTCGAGTAATTTTTTAGGCTTATTGCTTGCTGATGAAAGGCTTAACTTCATGCGAATTGATTGACTAGGAAATAATCGAGTTTCATTGCTTGAGTAGCGTGCTCAGAAAAATTGTTGTCGCAAATCGATCTAAGGTATAAAATTACATCTTTTTTTTTGAGTTTTTAACATAGGCGAAGCTTCAATTCACAAACACTAGGGAGAATTCCTGCTATGTGACTGTAGGTTTCCGTTTTCATATCCATAATCTTAATTTTTTGATCTCTCTGCAGATCTCTTTCAAAATCTAACCCACTCTACAATCTTTTTTATTCAGATATCATCCTTGCTTTGACCTCGACTTTGCACAAATTAAACAATAAATCATAAAAAAAACTTATAAATAAATGCTGTTTTGTTTCATTAGTTTTGTATCAAAATGATTGCTCTGTAGTTATCTTTCGAGTTTTTGTAAGTTTATTGCTAGAAAAGATTTCCGTTTGATTAATAGTTTGGTCAAGTGAATTTGCATGTGTTTTGTATTATTTTTGTGCGAAAATACACAGCTCAATTTTATATTCAAATTACTGCTTAACTTTAATTTGGTTACTAAATTTTTGTAATTGATCCGACTTTCGGGGTGGTTCTTTCTTCAGACAAATTTTGACTTTTTAACTGCCATTTCGACAGATTTTTTAAAAAATTAGTCAAACGGTATTGTTGTCCTGTGCTTAATATTAAAAAAATCATTTCACCTGTGATTATTTCGCTCTTTTAACGCATAAGCAGGGTTTAATCCGTCTTAGAAATCGTTCGAAATTGGTTGGAGGAAGCCTATTTACCATATTTGATTTGTTACTAGGAGTTAAATCTATCACTTTGTACTTTATATGGCGTGTGGGGGGATAATATTCACAAAAAAAATCTCAAAGTATGATTTTTTTAATTTAAATTTTTTCTACATTTGTTTTTTTCTTCATTTTTTACTGCTCCATAGACCTTAAAGGGCAGTCGGAACATTCAGGGCTTCGCCCTTATACGAGCAGTTTTCTTTTAATTTGCTAACTAAATTTGTGTAATTTCATTTTTGAAACAATTCTTCCTGTACCTTTATTGCAAACCAGTTTCGAAATTACTAGACCCCTTAAAATGGAATTAAATGCAAAATGTAAATCTACCGGGCGTAATTTTAAAAAAATTCTAGTGTATTTATAAAAAACTGTAAGTGATTTAATGGTGCTGTTACTCTACATAACATCTTGGATATGGGTTTCTTTTGCTCTTTTTTGCAATTTTGTGTGTTTTTATGACAATTTTCTTGGAATTCGAAGAGGCGGAAGAAAAAACTATTTAAAATAAAAAAGGTTTGACCTATGGTTTTCTTTTTATCGAACTAGAGGAACGCAGGTCGGGTCACCTTTGTGTTCACCTGTGAACTTTTGTTTAAATAGGATAGAAAATTAAACTGACAATACGTAATTGAAAAAACAAAAACAAAAGGCAAGCAACAAAAGGCAAGCAAGTGAGTAGTCATAATTGAGAAGCAAGTGTGGTATCATATCAACGCAATTCTGGGCGTGATTTGCTTCCAAAAAATCCAAAAAAAATTTGCCGAAAAAAAACTGGTTTGAATATTTTCTGTTTCATCTGACTTAATCAACGTAGAGGCTGACCTCCCCGCTACAATTTAAACCTTATTTTACTGCTATAATTGTCCTGCTCTGATAGAGGTTATTACCCTTCCCCCATATTCTCCCATTTACTCATCTCATGTAGTCGCCTCCTCGCCTTCTGTGAAAAAAAATGACAGAAAATTTGGAAAACAACTAATTTTTTTTGTACGATGTGTTAATTTTTTTGAAATTATACTCCTTAGTCATTGCGATCGGAAACTTCTGTCGTAATTGTACATCAAATAGCTCTCTTTATTTCGATTAGAGTTATTGTTCCGACTTTCGATACGAAAGTAACGGAATATTTGTGCTCGGGATAGGTTTTTTATTCTTCAGACAAATTTCGACTTTTTAACTAGCCATGTTTGACGGAATTTTTTTATATCATTCAAAAGCTATTGTTGAGCTTAAACTTGAAACGATATTTCACCTGTGATCATTTTTCGTAAAGTTATGAGGGTTTAAAGACTACCATTTTGGCTAATTTGGGACAATTAACGCGCGATATATTTCGCGCTATTAACGCGTAAGCGGAGAATTAATCCGTCTTAGAAATAGTTCCAAATTCGTTGAAAGAAGCTTACTTGTCATAATTGATTTGTTACAAGGAGCGAAATCTATTCTCTTGTAGTTTATATGGCGTAAGGGGGATAATTTTCATGGAAAAAATTTCAAATTTTAGAAAAAAAAATCATTTTATTTTATTTCATTTCATTTTCTTATGTTATTTCTGCTCCATAAACCTTAAAAGGCAGTCGGAACATTCAGGGCTTCGCCCTGATACGAGCAGTCTTGTTTTACATTATAAGCTAGAGCAAAGTAGTACAATTTAAAAATGTGTTTGGCAGAGATCAATTTTTGAAATTTTTATGAAAAAGCGTGAAAGCATTAAAAACGCCTAAATAGTTCGAAAGAAGAATTTTTTCAGTAATGCCAACAAAACAAAATGCAAAGAACGTGACAAAAACATTTTTGAATTAAATATTTCTGATTTCTTCAGTTTTTGTCGTAAAAGCCTGTTACACGTTTTCATTAAGTTTATTGCACGGAGTTAGGTAAACTACTTCTACTAAATTACCAATTTTGAGGTAATTTCTGGTGAAATGCGCTTATCATTGTAGAGTTTACAATTCATTTGAACTGTAAGCTCGGGAACTTTTAGGAATACTTCGGCCAGAATTTACTATCGCCCTAAGCCAAATTATAAACAGTTCAATCTCTCAAAATCATTCAGTTTTTCCATCTTTGGGATAATGACTTCTTCAAACTCTAAATGAGAAGAGTCGACGTTGTCACAACTTCACTTGAGACTGTGTAATTAACATTTCAACGTGTCTTTAATTACTTTCAGTAGCCCCCATTGTTTGTTGACATGTTGTGATCAATAGATTAGGAAGAGTTAGAAGGGCTATCATATGCATCTATTGTTTGCTTGGAAATTGATATTCATTCCTTTTTAGGCGGCTGCTGTACATTTCCACGGCACAGTCCTCGTGTTATAAAAAGACAGAAAAGTATTCCTTTTTTTGTGCTGAGTTGGAACGACTTTGACTGCCAGATTTGAATGGAAACGGCAAAAAAAATTAGGATAATGCGGCAAATTTTGAGCCATAATGTGAGTAGTTGAAATGATTTTGGACAATCAGTTTAATCCGGCAATTTCTACAAGGAGATTAAGATAATTTCTGGTTGTCTATCAGTTCTTAGAATTTTAAACACCCCGATCTTCTCCACATTTCAAACTGTGTTTTGTGTTTTTATCAAGTTAACAGCTAATAATCCTTCTAAATCTCTTAATTGTACACCACTTTCCACTTTTTTTTTACTCGAATGACAAATTTTCTCACTCGTCGAAAAAAAATTCATGAAAATGAGTTAGGGAAATATAAATAGTTATATTTGAGAATAATTTGATTTCTAAAAATAAATCTAACTTCATTAAATTAGATACATCTATTTATCTGATAGGATATATTTATGTGTCTAGAAACAATATACAGTCAGTCTAGCAAAATGAAAATGAAGATGAAAAGTTTATTTACTGTTTTTTTTTCTGCAAAATGGTTATAAGATTTGATTGGCGTTCGAATGTCTTGGGCAACTCATACTCATACTTAACCGTATATTTAATGTACCAAATTTCTGCTTCGTCTTTTATTAGCAGATGGTTGTTCACACTTGGTTCTGTTGTTGATGTACTCGCATATGTCTGTTGAGGTTTCCCGACTGAGAGAAGCGGAGGAAACACATATGACACGAGTACGGCTTCTCCCCGCTGTGGATCCGAACGTGCTTCGTCAGCGTCGAACTGTCCGAGAAGGACTTGTGACACATTCGGCATCGGTACGGCCGAGCACCTGTGTGTGTTCGCATGTGAGTCGTAACCGACGAGCTTTGACTGAACCTCCGATCACACAGTTCACACTTGAACGGTTTTTCGCCATTATGTGTTCGCAAGTGTGCGGTTAAATTGGCCGCTTGAGAAAACGACTTGGGACAGTCGGTACATTTAAAAGGCTTCTCGCCACTGTGTGTTCTCAAGTGAGTTTTGAGCGTGCTCGGCCTCGCATATGTCTTTCCACAAACGTGACAAATGTTCGGCTTTCCTCTGAACCGCTCGTTATTCAGCAGAAGATTTTTAGTTGCATCATTTCCGTAACCCAATGGCTCAAACTGCGTCAAGTTTCGTGTACAAGAGTTAGAAGAGTATTCGGGCGGAAGATTTATACAACCAGTGGTAGCAATTGAGCTATAATCAGCGAACGTGGCATTGTTGTTATTGTTGCTGTTGCCAACCTGAGGAAAATAACGTTGATTTCTGAGCAGGGTTGCGTACGGGTACTGGTATCTATAGAGGTCTCTCGCGCTGTATGGCGAGTTCGGTGACATCACTTGCTGCTGCATATTATTGAGTCCGTTCTGAATATGGGCAAGTTTTGGGTTTGAACTTGGACTTGTTTGTTGGTTTCTGGGAAAAGACTGTGCTGAAAGTGTGCCCTGCCCGCTGAAGCCTGCAGAGGCGTTAGATCCAATCGGATCTGTGGTTCCAATGGAGGCTTGTATGGCTGTTGGGTTTGGATGAAGAGTTGTCTGTTTTAGAGAAAGAAGGACGTCTCCCAAATCTGCATTTTGATTTTGCGTTGGCCTGATGATTGACAGCTCACTGAAACAAACAATTTTGTTCAGTTTTTTAAATTCAAATAATTTGAAAAGTTCAAATCTGAAAACTTGTGAATGTTTTGAATTCAAGATGGTATTTAAATGAAAAAAAGTTACAAGGTTAGTGAATATCGATCCAATTTAGATTGAAGCAAAAAAGGATTGGAGGTGGATTCGGTTGATGTACTGAAGTTGTCATCATCATTACTTTTTAGCCTGCGAGTGTGATCAATTGAGGGGGTGCTCAATGTCTTGTTAACAATAGTCTAATGGGCAATCAGTCACAATTTCATCATTGACATTAAGAGATACTCAAGTCGATTTTGATGCGAATTAATTCAAAAAAGAAGGTGAGAAAACAGTTATTTTATTGAGTACCGAAATAGTCTAATTATTCGCTGCGTGATTCGATATATTCGAGGTTATTTTTTATTTCACCTAATTGGAAAAAGTTTTTGTGTTAAGAAGTTCTATTCACCAAAATTAAGTTATTTGATAGTAACTACTTTTAAGCGTTCATTAAAAAAATCAGGTGTTAATTAATAGAGGCAAATTGTGTCACATTTTTTTTAGAAATTAAAGATTATTCAAACAAACACGAACTTTTGGTTGTTTTATATAACGCGATGTTCAAGTTCTCGCGATGCCCACGGTCCGAAAATCCACCCAAAATCCAAAAGATACACTCAAAGGGATACCAGATAGTCCCATCTGGCGAAAAGATCATCCCAAGCAGGGTAAAAACGTCATATACTGGCAGTTTTTGAGATTTTAGGAGCTTTCTGGAAGGTTTTAACAATTAAGTTGCGTGCAGGTTTTTGACGCATTTCCCTTCAATATTAAGGGGACCCTTCAAATGCCATAGTTGATGCTTAGTATTATAGAATAGATGGCTAATCAGAAAAATAAGCCAAACTTTTTGAAATTATTGTGTAATCACCTGAAAGTAGCACTGCAGTTTGATGGTGGGAAAGCAGCGGCGGAAAAAGAATATGGGTTGAGGTGTGGATGAGGATGTCTACCAATGGACGGGATGAGCGAATCTAAATTTCCCCCGCCCAGATTCGAACCGACGCCTGTAGGCACCATCCCACCTTCGCCAGTGAAGCCAGCTGTATTCATAACTGGAGTATGCGGCGATACTGTGTGCTTCCGAGAAGTGGAAGCGTGACCGAAGCTGCCGTTCATATTGTACCCCGAGCTCAAATTTTGAAACGACTGATTGTTATTCGAACCATGTGGGTTTCGATCAAAATTGAAGTTAGCGACCGCCAAGTTACTTTCCGGGTTCGTGTCTTGAAAGTGAGGGTTCGATTTAAGAATATGTTGGTCCAAATTGAGCGAAGAGTTGTATGGCAACTGGCGAGCAATCGGTTCGTCCACTGGGCTGGAGCTGTGTGATGAAATTGAAATGTGCTCACTGTTTTCCGAACAGAGACCCACCAAGTTATTCGAGGCATGTATTCGTTTATCCATTGTGCTCATACCACCGCTGCCGACTAGCCAAGAGTTGGTCATGTTTTGAAACACTGGCAGATGAAATGACTGTGCCATATGATATTTTGTTGCTTTTCGCAGCTGATGGTTTTCAAAATAAGACAAAGTTTAAGTTTTCCGGTTGATTTAACTGAAAGTTCTATAATTTTTACCCAAGTGATTTCAAGTTGTGTTAAACTGCCCAGTGGAATGATATTAATTGATTTTAAGAGGTGCGGGGTTATTTACTTGGGATGCCTATCACCTATTTTTCACTATTAGTCCAATTATGACTCCGCCCAACAGTTACATTTGGTCCTGGATCTCTATTGGCTGAGCCAATTACACTCTCAGCCAATCAGGTGTGAGATGTGAGGGCTGTCGTTGAGTTTCCCATACTTCCTGTTACATGTGAAGCCCTTCTTTCCGAGTATCAATTATATTTCTCCAATTTTCTCACTTGGCGGGCATTTTAATGCAGTGCGGACCCGATTTGGAGATTCTCTTCCGATTTTTAACATTTTTATCAATTTTGGGAAGCCTTTTAGGTTTTAAAAATCGGAAATCGATGAGAAAAAATGACAAAACTGCATACTCTCAGTTTATTTAAAAAGAATCTTTCATCTGAACTTAAAACAATCTTGAACGAAATTGATATCAAAGTGCTAGTACTCAAAAGAAGTTACTCAAATTTAAATTACAGACAAAAATAAAGGTATCGATATCGTTATCACTTACATAATGAGATATTCCGTTAGCTTATTTTTGGTTTTAGTGAATAATGATTAGACTGACGAGAAACTGAAATGATATAAAGACTTTTGGTCTCAATACGTTTTGCTTATACATTTGGTTCCAACCGGTCAATTAGCCGCTATTCCAAATTTTGCTTCAAAAACAACAAAAACCGCAAAAAATGAAATCTCATTTCAGTCTCCACTTGAAGAACTCATGTTTACATGACTCACTCTATTTGATTGTCGGCAAGAATTTTTTTAGATTAGTTGAACTTCAGCTACTTGATTAGCTGTCAAAAATTTAATACATATCAGGTAATTCCGCCTTAGAAACATAGAGCCAGTTTATGAAGCCTCATTTAGCGGCAGCCGGTTGCATATCTGTTCTGATGGAATGTCTGGACAATTAAAATTTTCTGATCATGCCTGCATTTTAAATCGCTCTTTTTTCTCGAATTCGTAGTTTTTATTTGCTTATTAGCTTACGTTTTTTAGCTTCAAGGTTTCCTCAACTTAAAATGGTATCGATTTTATTATTTATTTAAGACTGGCAACACTGTAAATTGTTTTTCTCAGGGTTTTCCCTCAAATTGATTCGACTCAGGAGCTTTATTTCTACTTTTTGGCTATTTGCCGTGCTAACTTTGTGTTGTATCGCAAGTATTGCAACGCTTCGTTTACCCTCTGTGTCGCCCCCAAAATTCTTTCATTCGGAAAAACGTGATCGAGCTCACTGTTGTTAACAATTAATGGCACATTTTTTCGAAATTTACTTTTTCCATCAAACTGGTGGTAAATGACTATCACAGTAGGAAAAACAAACTTGTAAAAAAATAAAACGTGGAATTATAACCGTAAAACAAATGGCCAATATTTTGGCAATCTAAATAAATGGCAATCTAAAAATCTCAAAAACTTTTGATAGTCTTAGAAAAATTGATAGTTGGAAACTCAACTCAGTGAAAAATTATTGGCTTAACATTTAGTTTCTTCAGCTTATTTTTTTGACATTTGTTCTGGTTAACAACTAGCTTAACAGAATCAATTGAACCAAGTTACTTTGGTTCAATCGAAATCTAAAGTCAGACGTCAGTTCGCGCATGTGGCAAAGAGCTAACGCCAATCAAGACAAAGGCCGATGGTTCGAATCCGGACAGGATCTATTTTTTCAGGAAAGTGAAAGTTTTCGAATTTTTAGACTTTTGCGCTTGTTAATTCGTGTCTGCTTAGGTCCTGAGTAAAGGTTTGGTTTCGTTTTTTGTTACATTTTGAAAACTCGTTGTAAAGTTTGTAATGGTGCAGGTAATTTTTTTTCAAGAATTTTTTGTCTTTTTTTCAATTTGTATTTTTTGCAGATTTTTTTATTTTTGATTTATTTTTTCATTTGCTAGTAATCATATTCATCCATTTTGTATCGCAAGTGGTGCAAAATTTTTTATTGCTTGTGTTTGAAGAATCATAATTCTAATAATCGTAAAAAATTATAATAAAAAAGTTTGAAGGAGGAGTTTTCAGACATACTTCAGTAAAACTACTGAATATTTCAGTTACCAGGTCACTATGACTTTCAAAATAGTTATTGGGCTTGCAATTAGCAAGCGTTATCAAATCAGAAAATAGATTTTTTTCGGGTTAACAATTTATTTAACAGAATCACTCGAATCACGTGGTATCTTTGCTTATGATTAATTCATATTTCTAAGATTCTCTGGCACACTTAGTCTGGGGTCAACGAATACGCTTGGGTCGTCATAGGTCTTGGGTTCAAATCTGACCAGGACCTGTTTTTTTTTTCGAACGGGAAATTTTACGTTTCAAAAATTTTGTCGGCTTTTTATTTGTCTGTTTATATTTTGTCGATTTAGTTGCCACATCTTAGTATTTTTTTTTGCTATACACAGTTTGTTGTGTAGTTGCTTTTTATGTTTTAATTTAGTCCTGCAATTTTTAATTCTACTAGCCTCGACTTTTTTTTCCGTTGGTACATTTTGTTTTTATTTCGCTTAAAAAAATTTTCGGCTTGAAAAAATAGTTCGGCTTATTTTTTATCGACTGACTCAACTAACTTTGGGTCGCTCAAGAGAGTCATGATTTTAATGCTTCCCTCCGGATTGCACAAAATGTCAAAAATCTCAGAATGGATTTTATAGTTCAAAGTTGTTTATGGCAAAAATTTTTTTGCTCAAAAGTTGAAAGTTGTTTTCGAGTTTTCATTCAACGTTGTCGAATGATGTGTTTCTGGACGTGTTCAACGCAAATAGAACATCATTCCAGATAATATTTCGATGTTTTTCAGTAAAAATTTTTTTCGAATTTTTTTCCGTTCTTTTTAGACTTTGTGGCTTTCTGTTCTCTTCCTGTCTGCAATGTTATTTTGTGGTATCGCCTCTGTACAAGAAAGATGGAAAAAATGATCCAAATAGTTGTCTAAAAGTTTGTTGTTAATCACGTAGCTATCGTTTCTAATCTTCCAATTTTGCTTTCTAGTTTCTAAGAACTAAGTCAAAAATGGATGTCAAAAATAGTACGGAAACCCGCCTTCGCAATTCACTTCTTGATACAGCTTTTTTAAGCAATTTGTCTAAGTTTCTTTTGTAAATCCATCGGTTACACTAAGAGTTGAGTTGAAATACCTAAGAAAAAAAATTACATCGTGTTATTAATGACCTTTCTTCATCTCAATGATAAATAGTTTGGTTATTTTTTCCAGAGCTTCAGAAGATACGCAGTTCACCAATATTTAACAAATTCTATTTTTCACAGCATAATGATACTTGGACTTAACTGCATGATTTTGTCAATTTAAGTCATAAGCTAGCAAGTTATCAGTTGAAGCTTATTTCGTTCTCAGAACTCTTGAAGTCGTTTTGGTAATCAAGTTTTGCCCAAAAAGGCAACTTGTAATGAGAAAAAGGAAAGGAGTGTGAGCCTCAGCAAACGCGTTTTTAACCAACGAAGTACAAAAAGTAAAAGTACGATAAGATAAAGTCGACGAATTAAGCAGAATTGAATAAATTGGATGCAATTTATTTGAATGCATAAACTAGATTTTTGATGAATGTACATTTTTTGTGAGTTATCATGATTGAAAAACAAATTCTAACAGGGATAGCCCGTTACTGTGTAAGTAGCACAGTATGTTCCGACCATAGTCTTACAAAAAAAACCAAAAACGTTTTTTTTTTCAAATAAGTGTCGTTTTTTTTTGCGTGGTGTGATAAAAATCTGAACGAAAAAATCATCATTTGTACCAGAAATAATACCAGAAAATTATTTTGAAAATTTTGGTTTTTCGTCTGATTTCAACCAAATAAAGTGATGATAACTTGTTAATTTGGTCATTAAGCTCAAAAACCCGATTTCCAAACTGAAACTCAATTTAGAAGCTAAATTTTCCAATTTTCTGATAAGAATTTTTTTTTTTAATTTTAAAACAATTTTGAAACAATTTAACACAACAATTTAAAACAATTTTTCGCGAAATTTTTTTTGATTTTTTTTCACTTTCTTGTTTTTTTTCTTTTTTTTAAAAAGTAACTGTTGTAGATTGTGGCTAATTTACTAAATGTTCACACTTGTGTAAGATTTTCTCATCACACCACGTACAAAAAGCGACACTAGTTTGAAGAATTTAAAAGTTTGAAGAACCTTTATTTGTTTTTTTTTAAAGAATATCGTCGGAATATTCTGTGCAACTTGCACAGCAATCGGCTATCCTTGTTTTGAAGTGGGTTGGACTGAGAAAGATATTTTCCTTGCTATGATGATTGTGCAAATTTGAGCTGGACAGGCTGTGCAAAACTTGTATAGTTGAAACACTGTTCAAGTCCATCGATCAACCTTCTCAATAATCCAAATGTTTAGAAGTTGAGCATAGCATCGTTTGCTGGTTTATTTTCAGTCGTATTCACAATTGAGTCCATAATAACCGAGTCAGTGTCGCTCTCCGAGTCGGAGTCGCTAGCATCCGAGTCCGCGTCAGCCGAAGTATCTCTTGGCTTCTCTTCAATTACTCCCAAAATATTCTTTTGCATCGCATCCGCCGAAGCCCGGGACTCTATTATTCTCTCGTCTTCTTCGTAACCATGATTATACTCCTCTGTTACGGTAAATTCGGAGCCTTTTCTGGCCATTTCGATGCCATTTTTCCCAGTTTTGTTTTTTCCATCATCCATTAGATGGTTTTCATCATTGTTGATTCGATCATCGATGCCGTATTTTTCAGCACAGTTATTTCCATCAATTGTTTCAGGTTCGGATTCGTATGTTTTGTTTTTCTTGTTTTTCGATGAATTTTTCAATTTTTTGAGCTTTTTCATTTTTTCTTCAACTTTCCGCTCAAACTTGCTCAACGTGTTGAACTTTTTGATCTGAGCGTCCCGCTCTCGTATTTTAGCCCGCGCTTCCCAGAATTCTGGATTGAATAGAGTAGTGTAAAACAGCAGAACCACCGATAACCCAACTAGAGTTAGCCCATTTCCTATCTGGAACACAAGATCCTGGCTTTGCATGCCTTGGGCACAGAACAGGAAAGTCATTTGGATAGTTGGAATAACGACTAGTTCTCCTTTCACTGTGTATAGAATCTGTTTTTTGAGAGACCTTTTCATTTTCTTCAGTTTTTTCACCGCCAAAACTGTGGTGAATAGGCACGTGATGTTACCGATGAAAATGGGGACCCTGGGAGCATAGAAGATTGGCCAATAGTTGCCCATAGCTATGAAACAGCCAGAACCCACGCCATACAAGTCTCGAAAGAGCATGTAAAAAATAACGGAGACCATGGCCGGGTATCCCCAAGAAATCACATTGAAAATCATGAACCGAAGCAACACTTTTCCAACTATGAACTTCTTCACGCGGTTCAGCAGGTAAAGACCAACACAGAAGTTCCAACAAAACGCCATCAACATGCAGTTTTGAAGAACAAATGCAGTCGCTTTGCATAAAATCGGGTTATTCTTTCGCTCTACCCCCACCAAGTACACCAGTTGAAAAAATATGACAGTCTGTACCAGAAGGTAGTGTACTTTATTCTGCTCATTAGTCATGACTCGATCAACGTTTAATTGCAACATGAAGTTAAAGATGTTTATGACAAGCGCTACATTACTCCCGATATAAGAAATGACTCGGTACTCACTCGGAACGAACGAATCCGCCTTGTTCTCGTTGACGAGACTGTTAATAGCGAACATAGTCGTGTGACTACATTTGCAGTAAGTCTGACTCGGGTTCGATTTCTCTGCTACTACTACGCAACCCTCCTCGGACCAGAAGCCGACACTGTCTTCGTCAGATGCTGTTTCGAAATACACGCACATAGATTGAACTCGCATTTCGTAGAGTTCGTCTTCACTTTCGTCGCGTTTCGTATCCTTCTCGCTGTCTCTCTGATTCAATTTGAATTCGACAGGTGTACTTTTATAAAATTGGTCTACTTCTAAAAACACTTGCAGCAAGCCACTGTTTATGGACTGCGCTTCTTGGTATTGTACATACTGGTTCTTACGAACAGCTTCCTGCGTATCTGGCTTGGTTTTCTCGGGTGATTTGGGAACATAAAACGCATCGGTGAACAAAACAACAAGCGTTGAGGTTTGCGCGTCTAATGGTATTACACTGCGCAAAGTTGTGTTCTGTATCATAACTGCATTTATAATGCCGCGTGTTAAACCATTCTGCGTTTCTTCGCTGACCAAAATATCTTCCAAATTGTTCAAGTCGAGATTCAGTCCGTGAATCGCAATCGGTCCCAATTTTTCGTTAAACTTCTCGCCAGCTTTATACTGTCGCGCAATATGGCTGGAAAAATCAGAAATGGCTTGATGTAAGTGTTGTTTTTCCTCAAAAGTGAGTCTGGATGAAACTTCGTTTCTGGTCATCTGATGTGCCAGTAGAAATCCAGAGCTCCTAACTTTGGCAATTCGCATTTTGATTGTGGAGTATCCGTTCTCATGGTAATAAACTGTCGGTGTACGGGAAGCGTAGGTCAGTGTTTTAGCCACCTCCAGTATTTCGGCAGTGGTCAGTTGAGCGAAGAATGCGCTTAGCCTAACTTTGTCTAATGCGACCGCCATCATTTCGGCCGAGATGTAATCGTAAATCTGAGGCATCGAGTTGATTGAGTCTTCCAGTACCTGAATAAGACACGATCATTGGTGACAAGACTTTTTCAAAAAAACTAAAAAAGCGGAATTTTTTTTACTTGGCCTAAATTGTATACTAAAAAGGAGATAAAATATATATACCTTCAAGACAGGCCTCAGCCGAACTACGCTTCTATCGAAAGAGGAAGGCAAAATTTCGATCGTAGACTCCAAGACAGTCCCATTCATAGCAGTATAAACACACGAACAAGAGGTGAAAGAGTTTGGGATTCCTGACGACCTTCGATAAATGGCGCCAAACACTCCTGAGAGATCCACAAGGTCGGGAAGTTCCTCGATTTGACTTAGTTCCATCTCAGAACAACTCGGAATTAAGTTTTCAATCACGATCGGAAAGGCATAGAGCGAGCACTTTAAAGTCAGAGTCGCTCTGTTGAATTCAGCTCCAACTTGGCTCAAAGATTCCGTGTATTGAGCCGTGTCAGAGTGGGCATCTCCGAATCCGTTGAAAATGCCCAAAGTGCAATTGCCTCCTAGTTGTGCCCCATAGACCAGAAACTCCATTTCGTACAGGAAGTTTTCCCTGTCTATGATTATAGCGTCTTGTGCTCTCCAAGCTATTGCGCTTTGGCATCGCAGGACGAAGTCAGGAATTGGCGGTCCTGTCACAACTACTTTTCCAATGTAGGTTTGAGATTTTATAGAGTATTCGATTCGGGAGCTGAATACAGATTCGATGCCGAAAAGAGTGACTCTCTGGGTTACTTTTTCTTCGCCGGTGAGAGGATCTGAGGCTGTGCAAAAATAAGTGCCGGAATGTTCTGGAAGAATTTTGATGAAGTAGATAGTGTTGATTCGGTGGAATGTGGCACACTCGCTCTTTCCGTAATTGGGATCGTGTTGGTCAGAAGTCTTCACGTAGATGTCCTCCTTGTCCTCTCCCCCCATGTTAACTAGCATTTCAGTTCCATTCACAGTGACAACTAAAAATAACTAACTAACTAAAAAGTGAACCTGGGGGGTATTAAGGTTTCATTCCATCAGACGGACGTTCGGTGGGCTAGGGTTCGAGGCCCACCGTGATCTTTGCTCGTTACCAGTGGTTCAGGCAACAATTCAAAGAAAAGTATATTGAACGAACAATTGCAATCAGTTCTTAAGCAGGGACACAACAGCGGTTCTCAAGGAAGATCTGAACTGCTCGCGTGTGTTGGTTTCACTCGTGGATAAATCGTCTTAAGCTTCAACTTAAATAAATAACCAACTGAGAAAGACACATACGTACATGCATAAAAGTGTTTTTCTTTTTTCGTGGAAAAACATTTTATGCTGTTCGGCGGTAGAATTCTTTTGGGTCGAAAAAAGTCCTTGGTCGAACTCATTCGAAACATTTTCCCTTGATCCAACATAGACGACCTGTTTTTTTTCTCGGTCGAAACTGTTTTTGGTAGAAAAAAGTCATCGGTCAAACTTAGTCAACACATTTTTAATCGGTCGAACTCAGTCAAAACGTTTTTCTTCGGTCGAACTCAGTCAAAACGTGTGTGTTAAAAAGATCTGAACAAAAAATTAGAAATTAGGCATATTCGACAGTCATAGTAAAATAGCCCAACTGCAGAAAAATGACTAGAACAGTTTCTGAAGAAAAATGACTAGAAAGCGAAAAAAAATCGTTAAAAAAATTCTGATTTTTTTTAAAAGTTTTTGAATTTTGAAGTTTTTATTCCCAAATTAGCAAAAAATTTCTAAAATAGCAGACCTCAAAATGCGTTAATTCGTCGAAAAGAAACTTATCTTGATCATATATATGTTCTACCTGATAGCACTGGAAATCAAAGAATGTTCCGTACACCTTAATAAGATAACATTTTTGAATCTATTATTTAAACAAAATAAAATGCTACAGAAAATTTTTAGGTGACATAAACTTTCAATAAAAGTTTATAGGATAGCAAGTTCTGTCGATAGGCAAAAATGAATTACAAGTTTTGATTGTTCATGTTTATATTTTTAACTTAAGCTTACATATGAAGGATAAGCGTTCAATAAACGTTTCAAAAAGCGATAAAAATTGAGCACTTGAAATCGTTTCAGATTTTTGTGAGGGTACTTACACTCTTAACATGTTTTGTTGGGCACTGTGAGGTAATCAGTTCAGATGCGAGACTGATCACTCTCACATGAAAAGATAAAAACTTTCAAAAAAAATTTTAAAAAGATTATTACACACAAAGGCAAAGCGGAGGTAGCGAACAGAAACGGAAAAAAGTTAAGGAAATATTTTTTTTTGGAATACAGAATTCAATTCCTGAAAAACAATTTACAGCATCATATCAACGCTTGTCTTGTTTTTTTTTCAGAAATGATTTTTCAGAGACTCATATCGTTGTTTTTTTATTAACTTCTTGTTTTTGGTTTGAAAAGTACGAGCAATTTTCAATTAGAAAAAGTTTAGTAGCGATGTTATAGACTTTTCAGAATGGGGTTGATTCGGCTCTGTATTGTCATTTTTCTCTAAATAATTAATGTATGTTCTGCCCAAGAATTCGAAGCTTGCTGTCCTGAGTATTACTGGGTTTCACAGTTTTCTGAATTTCGAAAAACGAACAAAAATGTGTAAACTGTAGCAAAATAGAGGCAATTTTTCTACGCTTCATATTGTAACAATTTGACGATGATGTTTTCTAATTTTCGTACAAAAAAGCTTGCAATTAGGTAATCAACTTGAGAAAAACTATAAAATCAAGCAGGGGCGGATCTAGGATTTTCTCGAGGGGGGCGGAGTTTCGAAAAATTTTCGAAAATTTTGTCGACCTTTTTTTTAAGGTCGACCAAATTGATTTTCTGAGCTCTCCCAAACCACTATAAAAACTATAATTTGATAAAATTTTCTGCGCCGCAGGCAAATTTTTGAAAAAAGGCCAAAAAAGGCGTTTTTAGGCACTTTTTAAAAATTTTTGAACAAAAAAATCGCGTTTTTTCGGCGCGCGCTCCCCCCTCAAAATTAGTATTTATTGGCGCCAAAGGCGCCTTTAGAAAAGTTTAGGGGTCTGTCAGCCAAAAATGAATATCTCAAAATAGTTCAAAGGGGGGACCCTTTGGGTCGGTAGGGGGTCGAATCCCTGAGTGGGGGGGGGGGGGGGGGAGGGTGTCCATCCCCTGCCCCCCCCCCCTAAATCCGCTACTGAAATCTAGCATGATCAACTTTTCACTGAATGTTTGTTTCAAGTCTCACCAAGTGTGGGAGACTCGGATTTTGGATGTATTTCAACAAAAAAAAACAAAAATACCCCAAAAACAAAAATCTCCTGCCTGATCAATCAAGATATCTTATCAATACAAAGTAACGTACTCAGTTGTGACTCAAAACTCTTTTTCAAAAACCTATTTTTGGCTTTAAAAATGTGTAAGAAATTTTCCTTTTTAGACAATTTACCTTTTGTGTTCTCTGAAACGTATGGGCAACAAATTGAAATTAATTAAACCTTTTTTCCACTGCATTTGTGGAAACGGGAATCCTTCAGCTTTGCAGATAAGAAATCCTGAGCTGTAATAGTTCCCAACTCCTCTCACTTCGTCGTCTGTATCTAAGCGAATCTCGGAAATCACCGAGACTTGCTCTACAATATGTGCAAGGTCGATTGGCTGACGGGCTGGTATTTCTAGAGAAGCGATTGGATGATCGTCATCGGGGTCGTCTTCATTGTCGTGGGATCCAGCACCGCATTTAATCCGAGATCCGAAAGGGATCTGATCTATAGATGGCAAAGACAGCTGGATGGCTTCTCCAGACCGCAGTCTAAGCAATTTTTTTAAATTAAAATTTCTATTTAGTTAAAACAATTAACTGGCTCGAGCCTTTTTCGGGGGATTAAGTTAAGACGGTTTATACATGAGCGAACCTACGCTTTCCCATTCTTTTTGAGATTCTAATGTTTTCCCATTTTTTTGCGATAAATCTTCATGTGTATTACCAGGGGCGGATTAAGGGGGGGCGGGGGGTCCCCTCTTTGTAGTACAAAGGGGTCCCCCCTTTGTACTATTTTGATATATCCATTTTTGGCTGCTTGGCCTTAAAATTTTTCTAAAGGCGCCTTTGGCGCCAATATATACTAGTTTTGAGGGGGGAGTGCGCGCCGAATAAACGCGATTTTTTGGTCAAAATTTTCCAAAAAGTGCCTAAAAACGCCTTTTTGGCCTGCTTTTTCAAAAGTTTGCCTGCGGCGCAGAAAATTTGGCCAACATGATGAGGACAAAACAGTGCTTTGAGAGAGCTCGATTTTCCAAAAAGTGCCTAAAAACGCCTTTTTTGGCCTGCTTTTTCAAAAGTTTGCCTGCGGCGCAGAAAATTTGGCCAACATGATGAGGACAAAACAGTTCTTTGAGAGAGTCGACAAAACTTTTGAAAATTTTTTGAAAGTCCGCCCCCCCCCCCCCCCCCCCTCGAGAAAATCCTAGATCCGCCCCTGTGTGTTACTTTGATCCTCGAAGCGCTTGTCATCAAAATAAAGTCAAGTTAAATTCATCACAGCCTCAAAAACTGAAAAAGACGAAATCGTCAAGAAAACCTGTCTTCTTTTTAGTTACATAAGGAGTTGCCCATTTTGAAGAACAAAAATTTGACCAAAATGATTTTTTGCTAAATTGATTTCGTTTTTTTTGTACGTTAAAATGAATCACCATATGATTATTTGTCGCAAAGCTATTGGGGGTACTTTAAAAATTTGGGGCATTTGACGCGCGCGAAATTGTACAGTCGTTTTTCTCAGATTGGGTGGACATTAGACAAAAATGGATGGCAAAAACTTGCTTAGAGTTTCACCAGAATTATTATATTTGATTTAGGCTCTTAAGTTTTGAGTTTTTTCCATTATAATACACACACCTCCCTCCATATAGCCCAGTCCAAAAAAACATAGTGCCCCACCAAAGTACAATTTTTGTATCATGCGGATCTAAAACTTACTCAAAAATTCATAGGAAAAATAGGAATCAGCCACAATGAAGGCCAGCGGACAAACTCGCTAGCGCCGATTTCTTTAAAGTTCAGTTTTATTAAACTCTGTTAATGAATCTAACGTGTAGTAGGAGGTGTGAGTAATGGCGTTAGACGAAGTGTCCTTTCCAATGCACTTCAAGTCCCATTGTTTACTGCCCACAATTTGAACTGAAACAGAATCATGATAGTTTGGAAAAAATTCATGCAGCCACTTACATACACCAAATAAGTTAACCTCACTATTTTTTATAAAGAAATCCGTGTAGGTTTCAACCAGGGGCGCAACTGAAGTCTTTTTTAAAGAAATGATTTGCTTCAATATTGGTTTTTTCCTTGGAATTCTCCATTACTGGGGCAGGCAAATCGGGTCAAAACACAAGCCATTATAAGTAAAACAAAATCTTTATACTTTTTGTGAAAAATTCAGAGAGGTTACGACAACAAAAAACATTTTGTGAAGTTTAACCTTTACGAGAGCAAGTGTCTTGTAAACGGGAACTAGACTTTTTCCATCTTTTCTTACAAATCCTACTTGTGTTTCTTACTTGCTACATTATTGTACCTTAACAACTTCCAGTTTCTTTCCCACTTGGCCTAGAGATATGATCGTCGCCTTTGCGCTCTAAGATTTGGGGATCTAGTCATGGCCGGACCTTTACTTTTTCAGCATGTACGTCAATCAAAATTTTTTCTGGTAAACATTGATTTATCGTACTTTCGTTTGTCCGCTCCAGTTTTGTCGTATCAGTTGCCACACCACAGATTTTGATTGTTCTGTAAGCAACTTTCTTTGTAGTTACAAGTGCAACTGATGATCATCGTAGTTTCAGGGAAAACTTGAGAATTTAAGAAAATAAGTTTTTTTAGAAATTTTTTTTTTTTTAGACTCAAGAAGTGTATGCTCAAAGATTGTCGGCTTAGCTGCCACATCACGATTTTTTTCTGTGATATGAGCAAACTTCATTGTGGTTGCAAGTGAAATATTGTTCATTGTAGTTCCAGAGGCGACTTAAAACTTTTTAAAAATTTTATAATAATTTTTTCCCGGATCAACTAGTGTCTGCTCAAAGATTGCCGGCCGAATTTCCTCTTCGTAACTTTTGTTCAGTTGCGACATAGTGGTTTTTTATACTGTAAGCAAATTTCATTGCAGTTGCAATTGCAAGTGTTGTTCATTGTAGTTTCAGGAGAGTTTGTAGTTTTTCGTTAAATCATTTTTTCGGCTGAGCTAGTGTCTGCCCAAAAACGTTCGCTTTGTTTTTGTCTGCCTACGTGAGGTGCGAAAATGTAAATTTTGGTAGACCTAATTTTTTCAACGTTTTTCATTTTTTGCGACTTCTTATGTTTTTTTTTATGTTTGTGTTGTATCGCAAGCGGTGCGCCGTCTCTGTGTGAACTCTAGTTCCTCTTCCCTCCGTTGAGCACGCCTCCCCCACGATTGATTGCACGTTGATCCATTTGTGAACAACTATCATCACCAATTTGTGCACTATCATTTTTGACTGCCCTTAATGACTGCATTGCACTAAGATTAACAATTTTATTGAGAAAACAATTGAGCTTTGAGCGATTCTGAATTTGATTTGACAAAAAGTGCTCATCAATACAAACTACTTCACCGTTTACTGAACCAATCAAAAATTTTGAAAGAATTTACAAGAATTGAAATGTGATTCTTGATTTAATTAAGGCTTTCGATACTGTCAATCACAAAACGCTCATTGAAAAACTTCACTGTAGAAGCATCACGGGAGTTGTTAAAATTGTTGAAGATTTGATTAGCTCGTTTTTATCTGAAAGAATGCAATTTTTAACTTTTGGAATGGAAACTTCTAAACTGTCCGAAATTTGCATAACCAGTCCTTCCACAGGTAGTCAAATTTCCTGATGCTAGCTGCAGATCAGTTCTTTCGGTGAAACACTCAAAAGTTTCAATGATCGTTATGCTTTTACAAATTCATTTTTGGCTAAAGCAAATCAATTGAGCTTCATCATATCAAATTATCATTTTGAGCTTTACGAAGTCAATTTCTGTCAGAAAAAACGCCCTTAACTTTTCCTAAACTTTTTAAATTACGCTTGCAATTAGCAAGCGTTATCAAATTGAAAAATAGACATACTGTTTTCAGCTAATAACTTAATTAAGAGAATCAATTGAATCACTTGTTTTTTTTGTTCATTATAGATTCGAAGTTCTTAGAAACTCCGGCACTCTCGGTCTGAAGATAACAAACACGATTGGGACGGCAAAGTTCCTTGGTTTTAATCTCAACAAGATCTGTTTTTTTTCGAACCTGAAACATTTCATTTTAAAAAAAGAATTTTCGGCCAAATATTTGTCTGCTTAAGTTTTATCGGCTTTATTATCACATTTTACAAAAATTTTTGTGCGCAATTTTCATTGCAGATGCTTTTTAATCTTTTTGCTTTCCTACTGCAATTTTACTAACTTGTTTCTCTATCTTTACTTATACTTTCCTCTTTTTTCTTGTTTTTTTACTGAAAATCTTTTTTTCTTCGGTCCAAATGATTTCGGCTAATTTGTTCTCGGCTTACACTTCTAATTTTGAGTCGTTTCAAAGAAAACAAATTTTTTATGCGTTCTTTCGGATCGCAAAAAAATCTAAAAATCTTAGAAAAGAGATTATTACTCAAATATTCCTGACAGATATTTTGTTTTCGGTTCTACGGGAAAAGTTCCAAATTTTGGTCGGCTCAGTTTTAGCTCAAAAGTTGTTTTGATTTTTATTTAAACGCCGTCGCTTGTGGACGAGTGTCCCGCAAGTGTAATTTAGAAGAAAAAAGGGAACGTTATCTTAAAATACTTTCTACAGAACAGAGTTTTAACCGTTGAAACATTTTTTGCTATGCTCCAGAAAACGTAAATTGGGAAAGACTTTAAAAAAAAGATACAAGCCCCAAAAATCATTTTTCAAAAAATTTTCAGTTAATCAACAGAGTGTGTTATAGAACATAAAGTTACAATTTATTACGTTATGAAGACGAAAAAAGACCTGTAAATCTATTGAGCACTAATTTGTTGTCTGTTATTTGACTTTTCAAGTAATTTTTTTTTCTTCAACTGCGCATGAATTGATGTTAGTCGTTAATCGGAATTCTTCTGTTAAAAAATAAAACCTAAATCAAATTAATAAAAAAACTGAATTTGCACTTAATTTTTGAAGTGAATATCAAAATAAGAAACGAACAAGTTTGTAGTAAAATGCCTTGATAAAGCTTAACAGTAGACCATAAACCTCGACAACACCTAAAATTATCAAGAAAATAAGAGGTTTGGCATTTTTTAATGGAAATTTGCTCTTTTTTGTTTTAAAAGACGGCGAAAAGGAATGAAAAACTGTTGAAAATGTGAATATTTTAAAAGACAATCAATAAAAGAATAGAATTTAAGTTCATCTAGAACCAATTATGTTTAAAAACTCTGCCAATTTCAAAAAACAACTTGATCAATATGCTTCTCTATTTTTTTGATACTTTTATAATTTTTAAAGTTTTTGATACTTTCAGTGAAAGGAAATTTTTTCGCGCCTGATTTAAGTTTTCTTTTCACTTTCGAAGGTTTAAGCTCGAGCTTTATTTGAAAAAAGAAATTTTTAAGGCAAGTTTTGAAACTAATTAAAAGGCAAACCGGTAAAATTAGAATAACAGCGCAAAAAAATGCGGTGGCTCTCGTGCAGGATGTAAGCGCAGCAGAGCGAGCGTTTCCTACTTGCCCATGACTTTTTACGAGCTGTTGCTTAGTACAAATTGTTGCATGTTACGATTTTTCGCCCTGCCAAAATCATGACTATGGTGCTCAAAGAAAACCACACAATCTAAAAAATTGAAAGTTAACCTTTTTGAGCAACACTAAAACCCTTCCCTTTCCATTTTTCTACAATACTAGATAAGGCTCTGTTTGACACAGAGATCATTAGTGATAATAAACAAGACTGTCGTATCAAAATGAACCCCTAAACAACCCGACTGCTGTTTAACAATAGAGTGTCTGGAGCAGAAAAAAATCTCCTCCACATGCAATCGTGAACAATTTCAGCAACGTGAATACTTTAGCGTTTATCAGGAAAAAAACTTGAGTAAATAGCTAACTCAATTCACTTGGAATGATTTCTGAATCGGAATAATTCTCCGCCGAGTTTACCCGTTAATAGAAACTTCGCGCGAATCAATAACACCAATTGGCAATATTCATAGCCCCATAACTTTCCGCAAAAAGTTAACCGTGTTGGGGTGAGATATCTCCTTAAAGTTGAACTTCGGGCATCAACGTTTTTCAGACTGTAAATACCCTTCAAAAAATGTTAGTTGAAAAATCGAAGTTTTTCTGGAGAAAAATCCTTTCTTAGAAACAAAGAACAATAAAAAACCAGTATTATATGTCTTTTCTATCTTCTAAAACTTTCTTTTGTTTGTTTCCACTATTACTCTATTACTTTCATAGTGAGTATCCACTAGGTTTTCCGAAGCCAAGAATCAAGAGCAAGAAAAATCCAAAACTAGTTTATAGTGGCCTATTAAAATTTACTTTTTAACTTTTAATCACTGCAAATATAACCATCGATTTTTCAAACAAATTTTTTATAGTATAGACAATTTTCAGATCGTCGGTCGAAAAGCATCTTGGTTTTTGACCGACGATCTGAAAATTGTCTATACTATAAAAAAATTGTTTGAAAAATTGATGGTTATATTTGCAGTGATTAAAAGTTAAAAAGTAAATTTCATCTTGGTTTTCGACCGACGATCTGTCGTCTTACAATTGTTTGCTATCCTGCCTACCGTCATCCGGTACATTAAACACCTTTTTTGTAACAGATGATCGTTGTAATAAGTTCACAGTGACCTCTGCTTATTTCTCACTTCAGCTGACAAAAAGCCAAGAAAGAAACCAAGAATAAAAGCCAAATGCGAACCCAATAATGGTCGATCTTGAAAAAAAGCAACCATCAACCATGTAGCTGAGAGAGTAAGTACCACATCGAAAATTAAACTTAGTATGAAAACAGGTTGTCAATATTTCCACTAGAATTAGAATAATCTTTTAGACTCGGATTACTTTTTTGAGCTAACACTTCACTTGGTGCAAAATTGCTTATTAAATGCTACAAACCTGTGAATCTCTTGTCAATCCCTCTATCCAAGTCCTCGTACAGACATTCTCTCGGCTCAACCAATGAGTAGAATCTTCCGTATTCATAAGTGCACAACATAGCCGAAGGACCCCCACCGCCAGCCTCTGTACAATCTCGTGACGCGAAAGACCAGTCATCCGAGGTCAAACAGCCGATTGAGTCGGAAGAGTTCACGTACATTGCTTTTTTACCCTCTACTTCAAGAAGAACTGTCTCCAAAAGTCGAGATGCATTAGATGACTCTATGTCGCTTTCAAAACTAGCTATAAGTTTTTCGATTTCAGTGTAGCTTGAGGCACGACCCCCTGAAAGACAAAAAAAACGAAGAAGATGACATAAGCGATGACAAGATGAAACGAAGAAGAGAAAATAAATATCATCAAAACTAACGTACTTGCATTTGCGAGAGTGTCTTGTAATCTGGAACTAAATTTTCCTTTGAAACAACGTTTAAAAACTCTGGAAGAAATTGACTGCTTACCGAGTCTGTAAATTGAGAAAAATTTACCATGAAACAATGATTTTTGTCGCACAATTGTCTTCGGCGAAGTGATATAGCTCGTTTTTGAGGTGCCAAAGGTTCGGCATATTGCTTTTAGTCTCACCTTTTGTCGGCTTAATTAACGTTCTATTTTTTCTGAAAACTATCATTTTAATCGTATTAATATGTTGTTTTTTGGTTTCTTACCTCTGTAAGTATAATGTTGAACTTTGGAACTAACTCGTCTTCTTGGTTTTGTCTGTTTAGTGAGCGTGTATGTTTATGAATTGATGTGTCTTGAAACATTGCAAAATTTTTCATTGCTAAAATTTGCTTTTAATTTTTCAGTTTTTTGGGATGAATAACAAATTTTTTATTTTTGCCATTTTGGGTGTAAGTTTTAAGATTATCAGCTCCATTCCCTGGTTTAGTTTTTGGACTTTTTGAAAGTTGTCAGAGTTTGAAGTCTTTGGACTTTGAAAGTTGTCAGATTGGCCGTGCTCCGGACTAATTTACGCGCGCTTTGCAGAATTTATCCATTATCCTGAAAGCCTAACGGGAAATATTTATGCGTCGCCAATTATCCCGCACAACAAAATCGTTCCAATCGATTTGAGGTTAGCTAGTAGGTGGTATTAATTTCGTACTACTCAACTTTTCACACTTGAACTTTGATATTGTCCAAAACCTACTGTTTTTTCGATATGGAATTAAGGGGCAAAACTATTCGATATGGATTAAGGGGCAGTCGGAACATTCAAGGCTTTGCCTTGACATACGAGCAGTCTTGTTTTTGCTTTTTTTTGCATCTTCGTACAAATATTGCCGACTTATTAGTCCGATGTACATGCCACATATCCGACCTAAATGATAAAATATTCCATAAAAATATATTCCATATGAAGACAAAAGTATACTGAACTAATTCAAGTCGGTTTTGGTGAACAGAATTTTTGATGAAACTCAAAACTAGCCGATATTATTATGGGTAATACATTATTGCTCTGTGTAACCAAATGATAATTATTACTTATTAATATTATTTTTTTTTTCTGTCTTCAATATTTGCACGAGTCTCTCTTGTGTTTCTTTTTCTTACTATATCGTTTTGATTACTGAAAATTACAGTTCTCTTCAATGGGATTAGAAAGAAGTTGTTTTGAATGATGAATACAATTGAAAATCATCATTTGTTTTTCTAATAAGAAGTGGGAATTTACAGGTCAAGTAATGCTAAAACTTTTATAAAAAAGTTTGCATTTTTAATTTTAAACTCTGCCGAATTATTTTTATTGTTGTAAAACAATTTTTGTTCACTGAAAAAGTTTTTGAACGAAATCATATTTTACTGAAGTCTGCTAATAGCTCAATTTACAATCACTTTAGCAGCCAGAAAAAAAATTTTGAACTAAAATGGACTAAACAAATTTCATAAAGAAATGCCTTTTTTGAGTTGTTACAATTATGGGAAAACGTTGAGTTTATTGTTTATATTTCTTTTTTTCTTCACTTTTTGTCAAACATCCTGCAAGTTTCGCAGAAAGCTCAATATTATGTTAACGTGTTGAAATTGCAGCAACCGATCAGCGCTTTTGAGAGCTGAAGAATGAATTGTAAGAACGGAGAATTGTATACCAGTTGATTTACTGGCAGTGAAATTTGGTTTTGTATACTTTTTGTCTGAATATTGTGATCATTATATTAGGCCATATCAATAAAAAATGTAATTCGTTGACAAAAAAATCTAATTTGTGAGAAAAAATTGGAATTTTTGTTGCTTAAATAAAATTTTCCAATTGCCTAAAAAATCACATGACGCAGTGTCCCCCTTTGGTATTACTTCACATTTATTTTTGGCCGAACAACTCAAAAATTTTTAGGGCCACCAATGTATACTAATTTTGAACGGAAGCGCGCGCTAAAAAACGCGCTAAAAAGTTTTTGGTCTAAATTTACCAAAAAGTGCCCAAAACATTTTTGACTTATGTTTTAAAAAATTCATCAGTCTTGGGTTTTCATATTGCTCAGGGAGCGCTCGGAAAATCTATTGAACTAAAAACTGTTTTTTGAAAAAACCGGCCCCTCCTCGAGAAATCTTAGATTCGCCCCTGTTATCCTTGTCAAGTTAAGACATACTTTTGTCGTCACTTGAAGAGTGTTCAATTTTCAAGTTTCTGTTAGTAATCTTGCATTTTTCCTCTTGATTCGGCCAAGATTATAATTTATATATCAGGAAGAAGTATAAGGCAACAATTCCTAAGCGAATAAATTTTTAATTCATGGTCAATTTAATTCACAATCATTACTGAAATATCTCTGAAATATTGCAGGTTCAGCTATGCAAAAAATTTGAATTCTACACGCATCAGCGCTTGAAAACGGCGATCACTGGGAGACTACAGAAAAAGCGATAATTAACGACCTTATGATACTAAAATAACAAAAACTACAGATACCTTATGATAGATTCATACCATCCTAATAATGCCATCGGGGTTTTGAGAGGATTCAGCTACGATACCAAATTATGAAGTTTGGTTTGGTTTCTTTTAAAAATTATTTAGCATTCCAAACAATGAACAATGAAAACTTTCTGATTTCAACTAATTTTTCTAGATTTTCAAAACTGAGATGAAGTTTCAGTTTTTTTGGAAACCTGGACTCTTTTTTTCCACACTTATTCTCGATATTTTGGACTTTGTTGTATCGTACTGTTTTGCGTTCTGATGAGAAATTCAAAGCAAAAGAAAAATTTCTTAACATGCAGTGTTTTTTTTTCAAGTGTGGAGCGTCATCTGGCCAAAACCTATAAAAATACGGCAACAAAAAGAGCATTCAGTGGCATTCGATAACCTTAGGTATCAAGAAATAAAAACTCAAACTTTTGAACCCGAAAACTTTAATGATTCGAAAACATTTCAGACGAAAAAAGTTGTAAGTTTGATTGAAATGCTTCCATAGTGGAGAATTTTCAACAACACACAAGACAACTAAGGCACTGTTCAGGAAAAAACATTTCGGCTCTGTTGAACAGAAGTTTTTCTGTTGACAAAACTTTTTCGGGCACTGCTGTACTGTACAACCTTTTTCGGTATGTCTTTTTCGCAATAGCCCTCATATCGTCTATAACTTTCTTTCCTATAAGCTGGCCATTTTTTTTCATCTAGATGAGCGCGGAAATTGTTTTTATATGGATCACGATTATTTTCAGGCTGAAAATCAGGCTTTCCTAGAAAAATTATCAGCGTTTTTCTGAAAACTAAAAAAATACTCTTATATTATGTTTTCAGTGTATACGAGCTTTTTAACAGACCTTTATCACCTGTGATTTTTGACAACTGACAGTAAAACTTGGTGTGCGTAAAAGGTTTTCTCAAGATTATTTTCATAATTTTTGCTGTCTGACCTGTGATGGCACAAAGTTTATCGGCTGATAAAACCAGGTTGGCTGGATCGCTGTTCCCTGTAGCTGACCAAATCCGTTTGGCTGAGAAGAAGATCTGGTCACTCTCCAGAAACATCTGCGGCAAAAAGGCCCCAGGGTCACTTCCTTCGTAATTCAAAGTTTTGTACGTTGATTTCACTTTTTCACGGCTTTCAGTGAAGGTGCAAGTGTACCTGCCTATGTCAGAGAACTGGACTGCGTTTATCACCAATGTTTGAGACATTATATAATCCTCAAGGTCAACTTCGGTAATTATTTTTCGGTTTTTGCTGTACTTGGGAATCCGGACTCCTTCTAAAGCCCATACTAATTGCGTGTTGGCGTTCTCTTCGGATGCGAAGAAGGAGTATGCATCGCACCTGAACTGTACAAACCTGCCGAGTTGGAGCCCATGCCACTCTCGTTTCGACTCGTCAACAATTCGCACTTCGGGCGAGAACACCATAGGGATATTCTTCTTGAACACCCTCCAGTTCACGATCTCGTACTCCCAAATGAAGGAGCCCTCTCGACTGGGTTTGAATTTTAAAAAGTAGGATTTCAGCCTGTTGTCTTTTACTTTGAACGACTTCGAGTTTCCGTCAAAAGTCGATTTAAAATAAAACTTCACGGCTTTCATTTCGTTTTCCTCGCTTAGCTCCAAATTTAGAACATGCGAGTTTCCACCACTGTAGTAGTTTCCGTAGTCGAAATCCCATTCGGTTTCCTAAAACATCCGATACATGACTGCTAAAACCGTTTATGAAACGCGAATGATTAACAATTTGCAAGATTTGCAAACAAGTTATCGAAAATCTGTTACAAAAGAACCAAAGCAATTTTCGTATCTGCTAATTGTTGCCACCGCGGGCATGACTAAGGTAGACTGAGACCGCATCAGACATATATCAACATGTGAAAAACATCAGTTTTCTAGTTAAATTTCCCTTAGATTCTCTGAACTCAAAAGGTTTTTTGAAAAGTGTAAAATTTTACTTCTTGAGTTAAGTCCTTGAGGTTGACTCATAGAGTAACTTCGGATAGGGTACACCGTCTGCTCGTCACGCTATCTTTTTTTTCGGCCGGATAGATTCGTGCAACTTCTTAGTCTAATACCGATCCTAATCTTACTCTTATATCTAATAGTCTCAGGGTGTTTAACTAGTCTCTGCTAGGCTCAATAGATCTAGAGTATACTGGCTTATTGCAACTGCTGAAGTTCTCTCGGAGAGGTAACTAATTTCTAAGTTAAATTCAAATCTCTCTGGTGCTGAAATTACAAGTAATTTCAGCACTTACAAAAAAGTGGGTTGTTAGTTAGATGGATTATGATTGGTTTATATTAAATAATTTACAGTGGTAAAATATCTAATTTATCCAATAATAACATGTAGTTTAGATCAAGTTCCACCCATCCGGGGTTTACAGAGTTTTTTAGACTTATATTTATTCTCTGCAATTTGAAGGATGGATGATGAACGTTGGCATTTGGCGAACATCAGTTTCTTATCCGGTTCCTCTTGAAGAAGAACGTTCCAGGACGCTGGAATTAGGGATAGGAAATTGTCATTGCGTCATTCGACAACGACTGTGATCCCCAATGAAATCAATCCGATTTCAAAATGGTTTGCTATGTCAGGTTTTTCTGTTTTAGTAGAGAACTGTTTTGTGTGTAGCCTCGTCTGGGAATGGCGTGAAGATCGTGTGTGGAAGGGATGCCTTGTAACTCGGATCTGTACGTATACTTGAGCATCGAGATGGTCATTGGTCTAGTTTAATGAAGTCCTTTTCTGCGAAGTCAAGTCGTACTCTAAATCCTTTGAGTCGTGATTCTGGACCGCATGTCGGTTGTTTAGCCATTTTTTTGTTCGAGTGTGATGGGATCATCTAGTCTTTGGATGTTCGTCTTTGTTGTTGTGTATGATCTATATGCTGCAAAGTATGATTTACATTTTATAAATTTTTGTTAATTTGGTTTTTTAATCATGAACTTAGTTAGTCGTTTTCATAAAAGCGTTTTGTTTTAGTTTAGTTATTTTTGAAGAGTTACTCGCCCTTGAGTACCTCTTATTAAAAATAGAAGTGTGGTCACAAAGCGTGGATGTAGCGCGGTGGGTTAGGCTGGCTATAGAGCATGCTCAGGGCGTCCTTCTCTGGTGGGTTAGGCCAGGAGAGGGAGTAAGATTGCATGCTGTTTCTTTGAGAGGTCCTGTTATGTGATAACGTTTCATGTTGGTTTTCTGTTGGTCTTTCTTATGTTACTTTGGTTGTGTCCTTTTTTCAAAAATCAAATTGTTTTTGGTATGGGTTTGTCTTGCGACTTTTTTGTTTTTTGTTATTTCTTTCTTAGATTTTATAATAGTCTTCAAAAGAATAAATTATCCAGTTTTAAGCTGGGTTAATCCGGTTTGGGTACCGTTGCTTTTCATTTCTTAGTCATGCTGTTATTTTATGATTTGTGGTGTTTAGTAATCTGCATTGGTTAGTTTGATTTAGCGTATAATTCCTTTCCAACCGGGTTAAAGGAAAGTTTGAAACTTGTTATCGTGTAAAAGAGTTGTTGATAATGAAAGCTTGAAAATTAAAATCATTATTTAAACAATTCTTCGTGGGCGAGCTGTTCGAGTTTGGATAGAATTCTTGTGCGAATGACTGAAAATATTGGAAAAGTTAGTACTGTTTTCTCATTTTATCAATTTATTGCATAGATTTTGAATTTTACTGCGTTTTGGGGAAGTTTAAAATTATAAATTTTCATCGTATTTCAAGTTTATTGCTTCATGGGGAAATAATTTATAATATAAAATTACTACATTTGCTATGAATTTTACTACATTATTTAGTGCAAGAAGTTAAATAGTTTTAAGATAATTTAACAAGCTTGTTTTTTTATTTTTTTTTTCTGTTTTGTAGATGATTTTGGTGCGAAGACTAAAAGAATAAATTAAACATTGATAGAAAATGGTTAGTACAAATTTAAATTTTTTAGTTAAAAGTATTTCAAATTATATTTACCTTAATCTTCTGGGCAAAAGCCATAGGGGAAGATGTCGTGAATCATGTCTGATGTTGTTAATAATTTGGCTAGTATGCGTATGATTTTTTTAGTTTGTAGAAGTGGCTAAAGCAATTGAAGTGCCTTGATGGTGTTTAGTTCTTCTGTGCCTACTGCAAACTCGTAAGGTGTGTTTTGGATGAGGTTATATATTTTATGAATATATTTAGTATTGAGAATGAATTCTAATATGGGTATTTCAATAGCTTGGATGAATTCATGCGGGATAAGGAAGGGTCTTGATTCTTTGGCATTGAAGGTCTTTGTGATGGGACAGAATTTATACATTTGGGTAACTGGGTCATAGTTGCGGAGGATGCCGTGGATGTTAGTATCTTTAATGCAATATGTAAAATTAAGGAAAAACGGTGACGTGTATTTTGAGTTAAGAAACTGAAAACGATGGTGAGGTTGACTTGATGGGGTGTGTAAATCAAAATGATTTTGTATAAAACGATAATATGTATATGTGTGCGTTTGTTTAGTGCGTAACATAATATCGTGGGAACAGTGCAAATTGCTTTCTCGTGGTGAAAGAAAGTGAAAGGTTAGTGAAAATAACTGAAATGTATCATAGAAGCTCTCGTATGCTTGAATATGAACTAGTGATTCTGAAATATTATGATCATGCTTTCTATCAAAAATATTAAGTGTAAATACATATGTTGTTTTGATGAAAAATTTTTCTGTTAGTTGCGGGTTTGCGAAGCGGTCTTCATCTAAAAATTGATCTTGATTAGGGCGGATGATATTATGATCGTAGTATTCTATTGCAAAATCTTTAGCTCGGGGTGCGGTGAATGTTTTTAATAATTTCTTACATCCAAAGTAAGTAAGTTGTCCTGGTGTTAGTGTTGTGGTGAGTCTATATAACATGTTTTTGTTCTTCTCGATACTGTCATGAGTATTAGCTAATGGTAGGCAAAGGGGGTTAGTATAATTATAATAAGCTGTCCAATGAAGTGTTGGCATTAAAACGTGCTCATCAACAAAATTGCGTGTGTCATTAGTATTGGTAGGTGTATTTAGTTTATATTGCGGAAATGAGGGTAAGGTGATTTCAAGAAAATTTTTCGTGTTGTTGTGTTCTGGATGGTTATTATATTCGCGGGTTGTTCCGGGTTTGGTTGGGAATGGGTGATTTGGAATTTTTTGTTTAAAAGTGCGATAAGCTCGGTGAGTGCTGGTAGGTGTTTCGGTGGATGTGGATGATTGTGCTAATGATGGAGTGTAAGCTGAGGAGGGTGTGGGGTAGGTGGATTTGAGGATGTTATTATGGATGATAGTTGATGTATTGTAAGAGTGTTGGGGTGTATTAATTGTTGTTGTAAAGTAATAAAATTATCTAGCTCCTGGGAAATTTGGGGGGTATCTGGGGAATTATTATATGATCTGTCGGAATGAAGTGGAGAATAGGTTGGAATTACTTGGGAAGCATAAGAAGGAGTAGAAACGGGTGGGAGTGGATGACTGGATGGGATTGGTTGAAAAGGGGGTTTTGAAAAAACTGAGGAGTTGGTATGGGTATAGGTAGAGGGAGATGGTTCGGAGTCTGCAAATTCGTCTGGGGTTTCTACATTAGAGTTATCAATTTGTGAGATAAAATGAAATACTGAAATATCTGAGTTAGTATCAGAATTCGTGCTTGATGGTATTTTAATAATTGGAAAATCGTGTGGTGGGAAAGCAAAAATGGGATTATTGGGATTTGTGTTTGGAGGTTGGCTGGGTGGGAATTTGAGCGATGGAGGGATCCTAGTTGTCGGCTCATCGTGGGCTAAAAAAATGATTATTTTGAGATTGAAAAGTGGTGGTGTGAGGTTGTTCTATAATTTGTTCATATGTATTATCATTTTGTGAATGATGTGTCATTATGTGTTGGATGGGACTTTGTGTTGCATTTGGTCTAGAATTTGGACTATTTGTGATTGCTAGGTTTCGGAAATTACGGGGAACTATTGATGATGGATGGTTTTGTGGTAAGGGTGGCAACTGTGGTGTGGTAGGTGTTATATCTATATTATTATGTTCTTCGTCGAATGTGTTTTGTCTTGTGGATATTTTTGTATTATATTCTTTTATTTGTGCATTTAGAAGTATTTTGTTAATTGATGACAAAAAAATCCAAAAAATCCTGCAAATAGTATACCTGCTACAGTTGCTTGTCGGTTTACTTGTGTGTGCATAGCGCATGTGTTATAGATTCCTTTTAATAGTGAGAAAAGAAATCCTATAAATTTAAACATGGCGTATAAGATAGTTAATTTTTCTAAGATGTAATAGGGTTATCCTAGCAAAGCTAGAATTTCGTTCTTTAAGGTGACAAAACTGAAAATATTTATAGGTGAAATATCTTGTGGTCTGTATTTTCACCGTTTAAATATATGTAGTCTTTAATATCTTTAAAATATCCGCTATAGTCTTGTGTATAAATGTCTGCAAATCCTGCAGTTTCGACAAATTTTCTTAAATTTTGGTCAATTGATTGTCGTTGTTTTGTGTCCATTTGTGTTAATAATTCCTGAAACTGTTGTGTTCTAATGTTATGTTGGATATCAGATTTTAAATATATTCCAATTGATTGCAAATCAATATTTGGGTTACGAGCGATAGCTCTGATGCTTTCGGGTGAAAACTTTTTTAGTGATTGCATTAATGTAGGGTATGGTGTA